CATTCTTCACTTTCATCTACAACCGCAGTTCATATATGAATTATTTCATATAAACTTCACAACATTTAAATTTTGCTATCATGTTTTAGTAATTTTTCTTCAAACTAAGACGTAGATGGGAAAGAAATTAAATGTATGTTGTTTAGAGTTTTTAATGAAATCCTGTTTAAGCTAACTTTAATTTGCACTTGCCGAACGTGACTCCCACGCCATGATTGGCCGGTGTCACATTTGTGACACGTTTGGCCGGTGTCACGTTAATCTTCGTTTCTATTATTTGACAGACTGGGATAGTGAGACGTTCACGTAATACTTTCTTAATCCACCCTCTGCCCGCACGTCTTGCTCGGCACGTGAAAGGAAAAGAAGAGGCAAGGCCTCACTTGGTTTACAGGAGATCATCGCAGGAGGGAATCGACTGTCACACTAAACCAGGTAAGGGGACGCGTACATGAACAGACTCGTAGCTTTAAATACAGTCCAATTTAACACATCCAAGCCAAGAAAACCTCCAAGATTAGAATGTTGGAACCTTCAAAGGAAAGTATCTCTCAATCATGAAGTAATAATTCACCTATAACCAGTTCGTACGAAGGCATAAAATAATGTTTTTAGAAGCGCTGCTAGCGTATGCATGATGGCTATATGTGAAGGAACATGATTTAAATTAACAGCTGACTAAAACCACAAAATGACATAATCTTAAAATGCGTAGAAGCTCTATGCTGACCACTGCGGAGTGAGTATTGGTCTTTTTCAGCTTTTAGCAAACTTTACTAAAATGTTATACGGATAGACCTTTCGCCGGGTTTCTTAACCATTTCCCCCTGTTAACTATGGTCAAACAGTACCGATGAATTGAATGTTTGGATTACCCTAGAATAGACATGCAAGCATGTCAACAAGAAAAACTAAAGTAGAAGTACTCCAAGTCTCTTAATTTTCCAAAAACCGGGAAACGCCCTGGCAGGATGCAACCCTCAAGCTCGACGTCGAGTTTTACCTCCATTTTCATTCATATCTCGTTTGTTTCCTTTTTTTCTTACCCAATGTAATTGTGCAAAATTGCCTCAGCGAAGAGAGATGATTCAGCGACAAAACGCCAGTTACAGGAAGATAGCAACGATATTGGGATAACCCACAAGTACCTGGAAGTGGCACTACTTGCAGATGAACAAACCGTGGCCTTCCATGGAAACCTGATCGAGGACTTCTTACTGCTGATAGGCAGCATTGTGAGTATAAAAACCCTGTACATGTTATGGACAGTACGTAAATGGTGTAAACATTGGAAGCTAACGATGAAATACACTGTAGAAACCCTTCTATCGAGGGAGAGGTGGGAATTATAAAATCATGTATAAATTGCTTTCCATTTCGAAGTGTAAAAGATTTAGAGAAGACAGGAAAGGCAAGGTAACTGAGAACAATTTAAATAGGATTGATGAAATGTTCTGATTACTGCTAACGGAAGCATAAGGCTAGCAACCTTACCTCATAGAAAATTGTATGCCACAGAAACCGAAACCGGTATAGCAGATGTGGATCAGAGTGGGAGAGAAATAAGCAGTATCGTTTTGTTTCTAAATAATACTGTTTATAATAAGTACCGGCTTCCAACTCTTTCAATTTTATTTGCAGACAAACGGAATTTACCAAGACTCAACGATCGGAAATATAAAGATTAATTTCGTGGTCACTCGCCTTGTTCTTATCAAAAATACAGAGGTAATGCTTATATTTCGAACAGCTTCTAAATAACAGCAAAGTAACAGTTACTTAAAGGCTGTGGTCAAATATTAGGGATTTCTAACTATTTTAGATTGCTATACATTTGCTCTATTTGTAAATAAATTTAATGCAAATTATCGTTTACATAAAGATTGTTCTGGGTCCCCTTTTCCTGCCCAAAATATTGTGGTTTAATTCAAAAGCCGGGGATAGGAATTTCGGTGATGAATTTTTTGACAAGAACCCACCAGACTCCAGAAGGACATCTTGTTTACTCCAGACACCCAGTGAAGCAAACACCAAATACATTGCTCGCAGCTCCGGCTTTCTATGTGGGCTATGGAACCCTCCTGGCGGGATTCCCGTATAGAAAGGACGGGGGTGCTTGTCGTATCTTTTAGGAGTTGAAAAAGCGACTTTGGTACGTTCCTGTTAGGGTGTTCAGCTTCACAAATTTCACAGCGGAAACTTTTGCGGTCCCTTTTACGGTATTGAGCAGAAAGATTTGACAGAATATCTTGTGTTATTTAAGGTATTATTAGTTATTTTTGGTATACCTCTTAGGGGTGAAAAAAATTCAAACCACGCCCACAAAACTGGATCTAAGTATTTTTTTAGGAGTTCCTTTCAACTTACGACGAGCACCCCGTAATGTTTATACGGAGTCTCCCCCTGGTCCATGGAGATGCTTGTGATTGGTTTGTTTGTATCTAAGTTTAACCTTGCCAGCATTGACGGCGTGATTCACTTTTTTCTTGTCACAGCTTGGTATTGATCCATCTGGTCAAAATATTCCTCATAAGGCTGTACTTGGTAAAGTAGGTGAATGGGCTCGGAATAACAACGTAAATGATCAATCAGATCCACTGCAATTCGACATAGCTGTTCTTATCCGCAGGTAAGTAACAAATTTCCAATCATGGATAGTTAACAATTATTTGACGAGCACGAGTTGGATATGAGTTGGCTATAACCATCTCACATCCAACAAACGCGAGTGGAATGATTGTTTTACTAAAATAAGAGAAAAAAATGCCCCTCAAAATACATTCACGCTTACCATATTTGTAGAGCATGGTGAAATGGCTCAAACACCATGATGGCTAAGCCTATGAAAACTCTTGCATTACATTATCCAATGATCCAGCTTTTAATAATTATATTCAGTCCTATAGTGTAAATGTTCAAATCATTTTGGGGGGGATTTATGAAAGTATCGAAAGAATGCAAAACTAAACCTCATGATTGTAATCAAAAAAAAAAAAAACACACACACTAAAGAGGTATAAGTGAAACGAAGAAAGAGCAACAATATTTACATTTTGTGAACTCGAACGTGATATTAATCTAATGTGTTATTATTACTTTCATTTTTATCTTCACAGCGGAAAAACTGGAGGTAAATTGGAACGTATTTCTCATGTTTATTTTTTAAATTTTTGCTGAATTATTTGTGAACTCTTTACCACGTTTAGAACATGAAGGTAACTAATATATAATTAAATCTAACCCAGCACCGACTACTTTCTACTTTTGAGTCTATTCTAACTATCTGCTGTTGAGTAAGTAGTAGGTATCTTAACAGTGAAGCAATTTGCGCGCGCTCATTGGCTAATTTTCATTGAAGCGGGCAGACACATGAATTAATAATTTATGCGATGCGTCAACGAGCGAGAGCAGACAATGGGTTTCACCGTGCTGCTTTTTAATCATAAGCACTTAAAGCGGCAATCAAGGGTGTTTTGCCAAGTTATACTGTTGCTATGGTAACTTATTGTGTCACAAAAATGATACCAACGTGGTCACCAATAATTGGGTAGTTTTATGATACTACGACTGTAGCATCAACAGACAACGAGGGTTTTTATGAACCATCAAAATGTAAGTCTTGGGAAGTGCTGGAAACTGTCTTGAGCCACCTTAAGAAACAGCAACTTCGTTCCCAGGATCTCTTATCTGCCCTGGGAACGAGGTTAAAGAAACAAGAGAAGTCAGGAAACCCTATTCTTATGAAAGCCCGCCAGATGTAAGAGCGATGTTAATGGGAGGTTATTCTCGTGAAGGAAGATGCTGTTTCGTTCGAAATTTAAGCAATAAAGCACTTTTTCCGTGTTTACATCGCCTCATCTAAGGTTCGGAGAATTCGAGACAGTTACGCAAACCCTCGACTATGTCTCGGGTTTGCATAACTTTCTAGAATTCTCACAGCCCCCCGAAGGTTTAGATGAGGCAATGTAAGCACGGAAAAAGTGCTCTGTTGCTTTTACAAAATAATTTTAAAAAATACGTGCGAATCCAAAACGCCACAACCGTGTTTACGTACTTTCATCTAAACACACGTATCGACCACTGAGAGCGCGCGTAGTGGCTCAGTTATTTCATAAAAATGGATGTTGATGCTAGTCCTTTCTATTTCCCTTCCAGCCTTAGCACGGTTTGGTGGAATTTGTTACTACAACGATGTAGCAAGCGTGGTGAAAGACAACGGTCTGCAGACTGCTTATGTCATCGCACACGAATCAGCGCACAAGTAAGTAAAAAAAAAACAGATTGTGTGGCGATGAGCTACTCAGTAAACTTGCATAGAACATACAAATGCATGTAAATATTAATTATGATAAGCCCCCGATTATTTTATACTTTATCGATCTTTTTACACAATTTTTTTTTCACGGCATTCTTGAACACGCTGAGCATTTATATTATCCAGTTGCTATTAGATTTACCAACAGACCATTTTACAGTTGTCTGCTCGGTGACCTGGCCTTTGAATGGCAACGAGGCTGGAGTTGACTTTGTTTTAACCCTTTGAATACCAAACTTTCGCCAAAAAATACCGTTTTTAAGCGTTTAGTCAGGTTTTTTAGCTGCCATGACGCTAAATAAGCCTAAGTTTTGCTAAAAAAGCTTTTTCTTACTAAAAGGAGAGATTTTAGAGGATTAGGTACAAAATTGAGCAAAACTTCAAGTCCGGGCATGCGCATANTCATATGTTCTTAGGAACAGAGGTTCTTTTCAGACAAGAAGTTTCAGGCGTATACACCTCTCTGTCTTTAAATACCGATTGACTAAAAAATGGCTTTTCGGGCCCGAAAAGTTTCCGGGGCTTTCGAGAAACGGGCCCCTGGGGCCTGTTTCTCGAAGGTCCCGAAAAGTTTTCGCACCCGAAAGGTCGTAGCGAAATCTCAAACCTTTCGACTAGCGAGCTGTTTTATTCATATGTTCTTAGGAACAGAGGTTCTTTTCAGACAAGAAGATTCAGGCGTATA